AAAATTGACCCCATCCCCTCGGCAGGCAAGCACCGGATCATTGAGACTTGGGTTTGCGTCGGGTTTGCCAGCGACCATACAAAAACAAGATCGCACTTGCCCGGCCACAACATTGAGAAACTCCCTGAGCTTAGCGCTTGGCAACCCCACAAAACCACCACGTCGTCCAAGGTGGAACCCCCATGATGCTGGTCTTGTTCTTTGGCTTCCCTTCAAAGCAACCCCAAAGACGACCAGCTTTACTTGGCCAATGACGCATTCCCCATCGAAAGGGGCAGTGGCTTCCCGGTATCAGTGAAAGCCGAGCGCGGATTTTCCATTAACCCTGCCTGGACTCGGTGTGTAACACACCGCCCCAAAGTGGTTGGCCCAACTGGGCGTGGAATTCTTTTCCTTCGAGGGTACTTGTTGTTGGGCGAGTTTTGAAAACACAAACCACAGGGGACACCACTGTGTTTTTTTCTGTTATTTTGTTTTCTTCCTTGTTTTTCTTGTGGGGGCGGGCGGGGGGGGGGGGGAGCGGGGCTGTTTTTGAGATCTTGAGGTGTAACCACCTGAGGGTTCCACCACAGCCCCTGGAAAAAAGGAACACACATTTCCAGAAGTTGGACACACATTTCCAGAAGTTGGTGATAAATTCCAAAGCCAGGGGACAACAATCAGTAACATTAATAATAATAATAATAATAACAATAATAATAATAACAATAATAAAACATTCTGAAACACAAATGGGCTTTTTGTGTTTTTTTGGGGAGGCGGGGGGCGACAGCCATGAGCACCTAGTCTATTTTGCAACCCATACCCTTGAAAAAAAAGAAAAACAAGGAGGTTGCAACATAGAGCCTAAGTGTCCACCATACGGGGGGCACCACCCTTCGCCAGCCGCTTGCCGTGTCGCATGGAGGAGGCCTGCTCGCCCATGCGCCCCGCGAGGTCCGTGTAGCCCACGATGGTCACCTTTCAAAGGCAGGTTTTGTGGGGGCAATTACCCGTTTTGGGTGGGTTTTAAAGAGAAACCAATAGGAAACCTCGTGTTGGTGGGAAAAGATCGGAAAACCAGAAGGGGTAATTACCCTCCTTCCCACTAACATGGCTCCTGACAGGGGTCACTTCAAAAGGAAATTAATCTTCCAAGTAACTCCCCACAGGTGCCATGTTAGTTGGAGGGGGGGTACCCTTTTTGGGTGGGATTGAAAGGGAAACCAAAAGGAAACCACACATTTGTTGCTCGGGTTAAAAGGGAAACCAAAAGGGAACCTCACATTTTTCTTTGGGTGGGTTTTGGCCCTTTTTAAAGGGACGCCAAAAGGACACCTAACATTTTTGGGGGCTCCGATTCCGAAAAAAGGACAAACCCCAGCTGTATTGGCGCTGTGGCATTGGTGACCCTCAAACTTTCGGGCTTCTGTGGGAGTCTGCAAGGGCATACCCAGGAATATGTGAACACAACAGTGGTGATGCATGATTTGGTGTCTATTTGGGATGATTGGTGACCACGACACGACTGCTGATTTGTCAGTGTTGGCGGCTAGACTCCGTTCTCTGTTAGTGACTGCCTGGGCCCAGAAAGGACTCTAACGCCGCGGCACTGGCCTTTCCATGACTGTGCCAGTCCCCAATCTCCACCAATCCCTTGTGAGGCTCGCATAGACTTTCAGGAGCGCGCTACCTTTCTGGGGCTTCTCACTGTTTCAGTATGGCCATGGGTCAAAAGCCCGTACCCCCAGTGAACATCCCAATCCCCACTGATATTGACTAAAATGGGTGGCACCTACCCCGAAATGGTACCATTGGTTTTGACCCACAGCCATATGCTGAACGTATAAACATACTTGGTCGTTTCTGCTTCCTTCTAAAGAAGGACATCCAACTCGGAGCCGCTTCTTTGCCACAGATTTCACTGAAATGGCTTCCTTGCTGGCGGGTTTGCTTCTCTGGAGACGGATGGTATGAGGATTGACAGGGGATCTGATGATTTCTTCCCTAAAGTGCTTGATATGTTTCAAAGTTAACTAACTGAGAAGTATTTTGACCAACTGATAGCTAACAACTACTCCCCCCTACATGTCCAGGTTTCTTTTGCCCAACTTACGTATGTTAACAAATACCCCCCCCCCCCCCCACGTTTTTCCAGGTTCAAAAATTTGGCGCTCTGAGCTGATCTCAGGCGGAGGCCCCGTTCTCCGTGGTGTACTTCTCCCCCGATTTGGTCAGCGTGCAGTTGCCCCCGCCTCACAAAGGCTCAAAGCTCCAAGCCACCCCCCGGCGCTTGGGCCGGGCAGTGGGGCCGTGAAGCCATCCATGCGCAACATCTCCGGTTCAAAAAAACGCACACCAAAAAAAAACGGAGCTTGGTATTTGGCGCGGATTTCCGGGCAAGCATGTCTGTCGCCAGCTGCGGAACCACAGGCAATCTGAATCCATGAGAATCAGAGTTGCCCCAACCGGAAGTGACGGATCCTGAAAGGAACCTTCATGGCCTTGGCTTAAATCTGAGGCCGCAACGATTGTCGGGTGGGTTCGCTATACTTTCCCAGAATCAAAATCTTCCTTGGCCCCCCCCCCCAGAAGGAAAATGGAACGCGATTTTCTGTTAGTTCGGCGGGCGCACTTAGTGGACGACTTGTGTGACGGGGGACATTGAAAGTTGCTCAGCGGAGGCGTGTCGGATACTTAAGAGAGGAAAAAGGATAACCCCCCCCCCTTACCCCCCCTGATCTGATGCCTGGGGGGGGGGGGTGACGTTCCACTAAAGATAGTCTTCGGGGAGCCGGTGTCGCAAATAGGAGGTTGGACATCCTTTTTGCGAAAACGTGGGAAACACCGTTTTTGTTCTTCTTTTTTTCCAGAAACATCTTGGAGCGAAGGGAAGATGCAAGGAAGTGCAGGGAAATGAGGAAAAAGGGAAACGCAAGGACATGCAGGGGGACACTGCAAGGCAAACAAAGGACAAGGAAAAGGGAAATGAGTGGCAATGAAAGAAAGGACATACATGGACAATGAGGCGCACACACCGAGAAAATGACACGGACATGAAGGGGGAATTAAAAGGAATGGAAGGGGACATGACGAGGAAGGACATCCTCAAAAATGCCGAGACATGAAAAGGACATGACGGGGAAATCAAAGGGAAACCCAGTAGTACGAAGACAATTCAGGGGTCATGAAGGGGCAGTGCACGGAAATCGAGGCAACTCAGGGGGGGGCATGACGCTGCAATGCAAACAGAGAGAGAGAGAGAGGGAGAGAGAGAGAGAGAGGGAGAGACAGAGACCGAGACAGAGACAGAGACCGAGAAAGAGGGGAGAAACAGAGACAGAGAAAGAGTGAGAGAAAAAGACCGAGATCGAGAAAGAGACAGAGCAGGAGACAGAAAAAAACAAGCGGGGAGAGAAACAGAGAGAAACAGAAAGAAACAGAAAGAGAGACAGAGAGACAAGAGAGAGAGGCAGCCACCGGGGGGGGGGGGAAGAGACACGAGGTGGGGAGAATGAGGCATAGCGAGGCGGTAGAGAAAGATAGAGACATAGAGAGGAGGGAGAGAGAGAGAGAGAGAAAGAAAGAAAGAAAGAAAGAAAGAAAGAAAGAAAGAAATAAAGAAAGAATGAAAGAAAGAAAGAAAGAAAGAAAGAAAGAGAGAGAGAGAGAGAGAGGCAGAGAGACAGAGAGAGAGGCATAGAGAGGCAGGAGCGAGAGAGAGAGAGAGAGAGAGACAAAGAGAGAGATAGAGAGAGAGAGAGAGAGAGACAGAGAGAGAGACAGAGAGATAGAGACAGAGAGAGAGGCATAGAGGGGCAGGAGAGAGTGAGATAGAAAGAGGCAAAGAAGCAGAGAGAGAGAGAGAGAGAGAGAGAGAGAGAGAGAGAGAGAGAGAGAGAGAGAGAGAGGGGGAGAGAGAGAGAGAGAAGAGAGAGAGAGAGAGAGAGAGAGAGAGAGAGAGAGAGATGGGGAGGATGGGGAGGATGGGGAGGATGGGGAGGATGGGGAGGATGGGGAGGATGGGGAGGATGGGGAGGATGGGGGGATGGGGAAGATGGGGAGGATGGGGAGGATGGGGAGGATGGGGAGGATGGGGAGGATGGGGAGGAGAGAGACAGAGAGGGAGAGGACAAGGGAACACACGGGGGAGGAGAAAAGAGAGAGAGAGGAAGCAGGAAAAAAGGCAGAGGGCAATGTCGGCGGACTGAGCCGGAGGCTCTAAAGTTTCCCTCAGCAATTCATATTGGCCCGTATGTTCGACTGTTCGACCACCTGTGAGATCAGTCCGTGTTTTTGGGCCTAAAAGCTGGCAAAGGAGAACAGCCCCACCTTTCCAACCATCGTGGAAGCGGACATGAGGGGGTTTGGAAGCAAATGATCTGCTTCACCAGTTGTGGCTTTCCCGGATTCGCATGACCCGAGACAAGACCCAACAAATACTTCTCCGTGCCCCTGAGAGATCAGAAGCTCCCACAAAGAGATGCCTGTGCGGGTGTCTGGGGTTCACTCTGGCTCCTATGGCTCTGTTTGAAAGCGCCAAGCTGCCCTGGCTTGCTCCTCCAGACCCTTGCAAAAAGTGGACCTGTGCTTGCTCTTTAGTAAGGCATCTCTTTCGCTTCCAAAAGGTGTCCCTTTCATTCCGCTTCGTTCCGAAAACGCTCTGGCTTCAAAATTCGCTGGCCGATTTTGGTCAAACCGCTCATTTTGAAGTCAGCCCACACATCCCCCAACCGGCGGAACCCAAAGCACGCGCGCCTGCCGCCGCGAGGTCCACAATGACGCTGCCGGGCTTCATGTCCTTCACCTCGGCCAACTGGCGTGGCGTTCGGGCGAAGCGAACGAAGCATACTGCGGCGGTTGATATCATGTTCCGTTCCTTTTTTTTTGTGGGGGAAAGTATCAATCGCTTTGGTGGTTTGTCCAAAGGGATGTGCTTTTACTATTTAGTCGGGAAAATATCAATCTTTTTAGTGGTTGGTCCAAAGGGATGTGGTTGATCGTGTTCTGTTCGGCCCCCAAATGAACGGTATATAACTTGTACTGTTTAGTGGTTGAAATATCCAACCATCTTTTGTACAGGCTTTCCAAGCAATGGTCGTCCCGTTGTCATCGGACCTTTTGATCAACCCGCACATCCGAGAAGCCTTCGTTTTGCAAGGGGAACCTCTGAGTCAGCCCAAAGGTATCCTCGGGGCCCTCAGCCTCTGAAGCCGGGCGCCCTCTGGGTTGCTCGCCCGCTTTCAGCAGGGAATATAGTCTATGGTTGCATGATCCCACCGAGTCTCATTTTGCTAGCTGGTGTATTCCAATGTTCAAATTCGGCTGGAGCCTGCGTATTTGAGGACCATTTGGGACGGCTGCCGTGCTTTCCGCATGGCGCGCGCTGGGCATGCTTTGGCCCTTTTAGAAGGGGCCGTCCTCTGCGTTTTAGAAAGAAATCAAACAAGCAAAGCACTCTTGGACAGTCTATGCGGAGCCCAACCATGACAATGGGTTGAAAGCGGTTGAAAAGAACATTTGCTCACCAATACCATTCTTAAATGCAGGGTTGGAATGCGGCCCAGCTGGCATTGTATGTCCATTGTTATGATTCATTAGCTACACTTAGATGCCTCTGTGAGAGGATTGTGTTCTTCCAAGGAAACCCCCCTGATTGACAAGCAGGCAGGTTCATTCGAGGCCAATGTCGAACAGCCTTCCTGGGCCAGCCAGGTTTTCCCTCAGGAAAGTAGCTGTTGGCACCCACCCAGAGTTCAGCGAAAGTTGGATGGACGGATGGTTCCGACATGTCCCAACCGTTTCCACATCTCGTGGCGATTTTGGACCCCGGTCTTTTGCTTGCCGGGGGCACCCACGGGGATCTTGTTTTTGACAAATCTCAAGCGAGCGCCCCAAAACCGCGATTGGCCATTTTCAAGGTTCTACCTGGCGTGATTGGGGTTGTAGCAATCCCTGGGCAACGTTTGTTTTGTAGCTGGTTCTACCTGGTTTACTTGGGTTTGTAGCAATCCCGCCCTGATAGAACCGAAAGCTCATTGAGTTTTGGTCGCAGTGGGTCAGCTCAGGCCAACTCTTCTCACTGAGGCTGCGTCCATGTATTCCTCGATCAGGACTGGCGACCTCGGCGTGGTAGTGCATCAAACCCTCCAAGTACCCAGCTTTGCTTTTGCCCGCCGCAATTGCTCATCACAATAGCTGCATTGCTTCTCATTTGATGGTCCTTAGAAGCAAACCAGGCGGAAACAAAAAGCCACTGAGACAACAAAATCCTGAAATGCGACGGCAACCTCAGCACATTCCCTGGTGAATGCGTGTCTCAACTTTCTGATAGGGCATGGCTGTACGGTAACCAGAAGGGTATGGGCATCAATTTGGCTTGACTATGTTAAAGTTGCTGGCCCTGACGCAAAATCCATCTTAACACTGCATCCAGTCTGAAACGCAGCCAGTAATGATGCAATACGTACCTACATACATATATATATATATAACTATAACTATATATATATAATTAGAAAACATATACAATTATGATATACATTCATAGTCCTTCTCTTCGAGGGGCCATTTTGGGAGCGGAGCAAAAGGTCCAAAGCAAGCCGCTCCACTCATATCCAGGAATCATCTTTCAGATGATCCCTTCATACAGGTCTCTCACGCCAGAGGTGCCAGGAGTCCCCGCTTCCTGCCGGGGATAGCCGCAGTGGAGATGACGATGTCCACCCTCAGCAGCTCGTATCAAACCCCGCCTTCGAGCACAGAACCCCCTGTGCACTTCAATCCAAATCTTAAACAGCCCAGGGCTTGCAACTTTCAAATCGATCAAGTGGAGCCCTTTGCTAATGTTGAAGATCTGGAATGAATGTAGCAAAACGCGTCCGAGCGCTGTCAATGCCAAGCCGTGCTGAAACCCTCTTAACTTCAGTAGTGAAGGTCATGGGTTGATGGGAGGGGTAGTCGGTCTTGCGGGGGCCCAAGGCTCCTTGATGGCTAAAGGACTAAATGCTTAGCAATATCGGCAAGCTTCCTTTGCGGAGGGCCAGTCCCATCTTACGTAGGACGAAGCAGGCCATGAGCATCCCTTGTGCCTCACCTCCGTTTGCTTGGAGTGCCACGCAATATGGCATGTCTACCACGTGACCGGCTCCTGAAACCAACCGGAAAGATTCAAACACGCCCTTCGCAAATTGAACCCACCCGATGGTGCCTTGGAGCAGAGAGTTCACCGAACGCCCGTCCTGGTAGGGGAGCAGCCCAAGACTAAGAAACTGACAACCGCTGAAGCTTGGAAAACGAATGAAGGCCAAATCAAGGCAGCACTTGGCCTTTGCTCGCACGGACGACATTATTTTTCCGAACCAACCGACTCTTCCCTTCTAAGCACGAACTTCGGAACCTTCAGAACTTCACCTGCCCCAACTCCCAAAAAACCTCAAGTCCCCCTACCCCCCTACCCCCCTCCCCCCCCCACCCCCAAAACGAATCGAAGCACACAAGGACCCGAGGCAGCCACTCTTTGCAGTGCTTGTGGAAGGTGGCCTTCTGCGCCTATTGGATCAATCCCGCCGAACATGTTCTCTCTCTCTCTCTCTCTCTGCAAATATGTATGTATATGTGTAAATATCTATACATATATATATATATTATTGTCTTGTGTGAATAAAAAATGTATATCAACATGTACATCTATATATTTACATACACAATGTGTGCTGCCTCTTCGCTACTGCCAAAATGTCGAACGCGAAAGGTGCTTAGCACTTAAGCTTGCAAGCTTGTAACGTTCCTCGCAACCGCACACCTGCACCAACAACTACACGGCAAGCTTCAATCTGCTGCGATGCCTTCAAGCCACTGGCCGCCAGCTACTCTGAAGCTGACTCACCGCCATGCCAATCCAAGAAGCCAGTGGCCAGAAAATAAGTTGCAAGACCGACCCAAACCATGTACGAGGGACTGGAGTTCGGGATTGTTCCGGGGAAAGTCGATGGAAATCAGGAAAGTTTCAAGAATGGTAGTTTTGTGACTGATGCCAGTGTGGTGCGTCCGCCCATGGATCGGAATCCTCAAGGACTGGCTTAAAAAAACGGGAGAATGGCTTAAAAAGCGATCCAGGTATGATGCGAAACAGAGATTGCTGGAACGTGTCTTGCCAGCGGCCGCGGGGAAAGCAGCTGCCCTTGTTTTGTTGGTTGCTTCAAAAGGTAATTGACCCACCGCTGGCATTTGCCGATTCCATCGCTCAGACTTGCGTCGTTGCGAACTGGCCTCATTTGGCGGCTGATGCTCGGCCGGCCAAGGCTATGCAGCTATGCCGTGTGCCGAAAAAAGGGCTACCCTTGCTATAACTTTCAGGGTCACTTCCGACCAACCCAGCGGCCATGGGCAAAAGGTTACCCTTCTAGTTAGGTTGACAAGAGCAGCAGATTGGAAGCGCCAAGGCACCACCGGAGCTCCAGGGAACCCAGGAGAAAGGGACTGCCAGATTGACCAAACCCGCCCAGCCTCCTGGAACTCCTTGCTCGACTCTTTGGCGTAACCCCCCGCGCCGGCGCCATCTTCCTGCAACAGGAACAGGGTCGGCCCCAGAGCAAAAGAGCAGCGCAAAACCAAAACCCTTGGACTTTCGGTTGTACCGAAAGTGTCATAAGCGGTTTGTAGGGGGCACCAAAACCATTGTCAACCTGGAAAATATAGAACTCTTTTTGAAGATGGCCAACAAGGGTTTTGCGCGGCTCGAGATCTGTCTGTCATCCCCAACAAGCCCCCCACCCCCCCCCCCCTCCTCGGCTTCGCTCCTGTTCGAACACTGTTGTTATCTTGTGGCGGCTTGAAACGTCGCCAAAGATTGTCAACCTACGCTGCCAACGGGAAAAAGAGATCGCCATACTGCGGATGGAAGGATTACCAAATCAAAGCAGCGCGCCGGCCAGCCAGCCAGCCAGCCAGCCAGCCAGCCAGCCAGCCAGCCAGCCAGCCAGCCAGCCAGCCAGCCAGCCAGCCAGCCAGCCAGCCAGCCAGCCATCCAGCCAGCAAGCAAACACGCAGAAAGAAAGCCAACCAGCAAACACACAAGCAAGCAAGTAAGCATGCTCACAATCAAGCAAACCAACAAGCCAAGCAAACACAACCCCCGGCAACCCATCCTTGAAGTCCACTGTGATCCACTTGCCGCCCATCGACTTGACCTGTCGCTGAGCCCGTGACTTATTTCAACAAAACTCACAGGCATGCCTGGCGCCCTGCTCCCGGTTCGGGAGCGACGCATTGCGGTCGACGTTTGAGAAGAAAACATCGCCAGCATGACACTGACTCCTCCCCCCTCTCCGGCTGTTCCACCAGGGCGCATTGGAGCGACACCATGCTTGTCTTTCGGGAAAATGACTCACCAGAGACGTTCACTTGTAGAGAAGTCCTCTCCCATTGATCAGTTCTGGTATGAAGTTTGAAGGGGCATGGATCAAAATAGAAATCCATCCAAGTCAGTGGCGATGAATGACTGGGCATTTGCCCCTCGCCTTCAACCAACCCGACATGGTGGCCTCGCAGGTTGAGTGTCTATATTGTCCTTTTTCATTTGAGTCATATGGGAGAATAAGTGAGTCCCCTTCCCCCCCCCCCCCTGGCAAATTTAATGAGCGAGTCAATCCAAACTTAGCACCTCAGTGCATCGACGGAACCTCATTTGGCCTTGATCATCCTTCCAGTGGCTCTTTCTGCCCATAGCTGTGTAGCTCTCCGATCCCTTTGCCACGATAACGCTAGTTCAACATGAGCTAGCGAGTTGTCCTGTAAGAAGGCACGATGAATACTAGACGTTTCGGATTGTGTCAGGTGGATTGTTCACGGCCCGGTCCCCAGGTGTATCAAACTTGAGGAAATCATTGGTGCCATCGTCCAAAGTCTTGGTGTGGTTCAAATCCCCAAGCGGGCGTTGACAAAGTCGTGGATGTCATTTGCGGAGTATGCCTCTCAATCCACCTGAAGCACTTCCGCATCAGTTTTAACACAGTTGCTCATTCCTTCCCGAAATTTGGATCACGCTCGCAAGCCAACTTGGACATCGATTTCACTTTCATGGCCATCGAGACTTTGGGCATTATAAACCATCCCTTGTGGCTTCTTTTGGGACCTCTGGGTTCATTCTCACATTCCCTACTGACGACCAGCAAGCCAAACGGAAGAGCCATTTTGGCCCCCAACTCGAAGCCCCCACTCCAAGTCTCCACGTCGGATGGCGGCGAAATCCAGTCCGCACCGAAGAAACCCTGGAATGATTCCATTCCCCTGCCAATACCAACAATTGGCTCCACCACGGTTTCTTAGCTGGTGCAGGATTTCGTCCATCCACTGTATGACTACTTTTGGTAAATGCCTCATTCCTGAAAGAAGCTTTCAATTTTCAGGAATGAGACACTTCCATCAGGAATGAGACACTTCCAAGTAATCTTCACAAACTCGTGACACTGCAAACCAAACGTGCCCCCTCAAAAAAAAATCCGCCTGGTCGCTCACGTCACGCACGTCCCAGGCACGCACCACAGATCCCAGGGCGCTGGAAGTGCCCATGGCCTAAGAAGTTCGCTACTGGATGGCGAACCAAGGGGTCCGGCGGTTCAAGCTTGGCTCACCTTTAGACCATAGAAGCATTGGAGGATAGGAGACAGAGGGATTAGATATGTGTTGCACCATAATGTGTGCACAAGTTGAGGTTCAAACTTTAAGACATGATGCAAGGTTTTTTGTCAGGGATAGGACGGTGGCAAGGATCGTGGAGACGCTGCGCCAGCGCATGAGGGGCCTCAAGGGCGTGAGCTTCCAGCCCTGCAGCTCCCATATCTTCTTTCAGCACCAGTGATCAACCTTGGGGAGTCGGGATGGCTCCAGTGGGGAAACTCAAGGGATGTTCTCTTAGTGACTCTGATCCCAGATTCGGACAGGGCGAATGAAACTGCCAGGGTGAGCATGGGGCGCAAACTTCCCGCTGTCCCCCCCCACCACAAAGGCTTTTTGCAATGGCTGCCAGCTCGGCTCTCAACCTGGAAAAGATCGGACCAAGAAACACCTGGTGAAAAGGTCGGCACACACAGAGTCCTCACTCTGTAATCGATCTTCTCCAATGATAATTTTCGGCGAAACTGTCAGGTTTCTTTGGACCCCATCTTGGAGTTTGGAGGTCTGGTATTTTTCAGGGTCGCCAAACACAAGTTGAAAGGACAGCAGCATCAAAATGGAAGGTGACCAAGGACGCATCCATTTGGAGGGTACCTTCATGAACTCTATGCGTGTTGCTGAAATGTGATTGTATTGTTGGCGACGGGGGGGGGCAATGCGCTTCGCGATTCACGGGCCAGCATCCTCTAGCCATGCGGGTTCTGTGGCCTTATCTTCACACAAGGGAAAGGTTCACTTGAGTCATAAACAAACCTTTCTGGGACGTCCTCTGCCCCTGCTAAAAGTCAGCAACTTTTCGTAGGAACAGTTACAGTGAAACCCAACCACTAAGCCAACTCAAAACCAAAGGAACCGGATGGCCGGGAACCAAGAACATAGGCACACACATGGTACAGAATCAAAAGGACGGAGATCCCTTCCTTCTGGGGGAAAGCGGCTTCTGAGGAGACCGGCACCCAATTGCGGGTAAAAGCCTCAAACATGCTTGGTGGACAAACAAAAACATGTATAATGATGTTTCTCAACGGGTTCCCCCAATCAAATTCACACCACAAAGCTCGCTTTCGGGCAGATACATGAGTGTATGTAATTGCGGTGAAGGCTGACAGCGGACACCGCTTCCACTTGAAGGGGGTGTATCACTTTTTCACTGGAGGGAGAAGCCTATTTGTAGGCAAATAGCCATGAGTCAGAACCTATGCCTCCATTTTGGGGCGGATGAACACCCATGTACCACCTATTTGAATGTTCACCATACCGGGTTTTTAACCCACAGCCAAATGGGCTCAAAACCTGGCGGCATCTTGTCACTGAAACCCAGCAGAGCCTTGGCTCCCCACGGCCAGGCCGGCAACACCGATGCCCAGGACCTGAGGACGTGACGTGGCAAGTCATGGCAAGGGGACTCATCCCTAAGGGGACGCAGTCGAGAATCCCAGAAGCCTCAGCTCAGTTCAAAGCCATGCTTGTAAGGAAGGAATGATAGGTACTGGTATCATTCAGATCTTCAGGTTTCGGACAGATCAACCCTGCATGTTCGGCTGGAACAACAGTTGTCCATCCCCTTTGCGGATTCGTTTAGGGGACATAACAAGTGGGCCTGATTCGGCACTTGGCCCAAGCACCGGTTCATCCAGAGTGTCTCTCAGAGGTGACCCGCCCTGCTTCCTTGGCCTCTCTTTGCAGTTCAGCGTGTCCGACCCGATCAGCGTCAAGTCCCACAAAGCAACATGCCGTCGCCTCATTCCGTCTTGCCCCCACAGCAAACAGCAGAATATGACAATTGACGTTCTCACTCGCACAGAGGCATGTTTCGCACGTGCAGGTGTGACTTTTTGGGGGGTATCCTTTCTGGGGCTGTTTTACAGGGAAGCCAAAGGAAAATCACACACACACACACAACTTCCTATGCGATTTCGAAGCCAGGCTTCGTGCAGTTTGTCATCACCACAGCGCAGAACACAAATGCCCACTTGGATCTTTCAATAGCTAGGCGAGGCCGACTGGGATCTGACTTTTGCAGGCTTGTCCCAAAAATTATCAAAAACCGACCAAGGTGCACTTTACGGTCACAGTCTGGCGATGCGGGAAAAACAAAACGCCATCAAGATCCCATCCATTGAGGCTCCCTTTTCGACGTGAAATCTCAATGATTGGCACAACGAGAGCATGGACAGTTGATTCGGGAACACGAGAAACCCTGTGACTTACCACAATTCGCTGGATTTTCGTTTGGATGCCCGTGCCCGTCCGCCGAATCGCAGAATCCATGCTGCCCGGCCATGGTATGGCAGGGCGGGTACTTCCCAGCCGCGGTGATCTCGCCTGCCAGGCCCATGAAATAGACTCAGGTCTTTTCAAGTCCCAGCATCAAAGCTGCCCAAAGAACACAAGGAGGCCGAAGTCCCCTCTTCGGCTGGGGTCGGAGTCGGGACCATCACCACTCAAAGTTTGGACTGGCAAAAACATAGCTAAGAAACCTCTTGAGGCGGAAAACGACCAAACACCCTTGGCACCATCTCTAAAAAGACCCCCGAGTTGCTCTGAGATCTCGTGGCTTTCGTCAAACCAAATCTATCACCAGAAGAAAAGTCCCCTTGGGGTACAGCGACCAAATGAAGATTAATGGAATTCCCAGATTTGAAGTCCAGATCTGATTTCTGCGACACCCAAGAGGCTTTGTCTCATGGGGAAGCCGCCATGGGCTGCTTTGCATTTTCCTCTGAAGCAATCCTGAGAAGGGGCGTCTACAAATTGCCGACAGCCTCGCGGTAGAAGAGAGCCAGCATCGCATCAACATGCTTCAGCTCAGTAAGCATGGCTTTTCACCCCATGCCTTTGACTGCAAAACATCGTCTCTTTCGCCTTCCGGGGAAATTGAGGGAACCCAAACTTGCTCAAGTTTAGACAAATCAACTGGCATGCCAACAAACTGAGGGCAGAAAGGTATGCGACTAAGCGGGATCCGGGACAGTTTTGACGGCTCCCAGCTGATCTTTGACCTCCGATTGAAATAGGGGATCCCCAGAAAATTGCTTCCCTTCTCCTTTGGGTTTCTCGTTTTACACATCCAAAGAGATGGTCTGAGAGTGTGTCCCCAGTTCTGGCAACACCCCAAGTACCTGCCACGCAGGAGACCCTTATAATTCGATGCGGCGTGCCTTGGTAAAAGCGCTCGAAGGAGTAGGCGCCTGGAAGGGCAAATCGACAAGCATGAATCTCAGAATCTCAGAAAGGGCAACCAGATTCTGACACACTCCCGTGCCTTCTTAGAATTGACCCAGTCTGAAACAAGAAAGACCCAGGTAAAGAACATTCACCATGGCCTCTCGTTTTACCCCGAAATGGAGCTCGTTTCAGCTTGCCCAGCTTGACGCACAGAATCTCATCACAGGAACAGTGCTACCTTTTTGTTGAGCCAAGGTAACATTCCCAGCTCCTGGGTTTGGGTTCCTAGCTTGCTTCCTCGTTCCAAGTTACAAAACATATGCGTAAACAATACCAACTGTTGGACTCTCGTGGGGAATGTAGTTTACGTTCATCTCAACCACGCCAAACTGGAAAGAACCAGCTCCCCACATCAACTCAGAACTTGGAATTTTGGTTCGCCGCTTTGTCGCTTTGTTGAGACATATGGATGTGTGTGTGTGTGTCTCTCTTTTTGAGGATTCTCCTTTGGGGGGGCGCTTGCAAGGGAAGCTCCAAAGGACCATCCGTTTTGGGTGTTCCCCTCGTAAACGGGACAGGCCAACAAGCATTCACTTGGTCCGCACACGCGATACGTGTCATTTAGCAGTCCCCGCCTTCCAGAACCGCTCGATGACCCGCACACTTCGCCTGCACATGGGACCCGAGTTTGCTGTGTAAATGCGTACGTGACAGCATGTGGGGGTTGATCACAATGTCCTTTACAGGGGATGACCATGGATTGGAAAATCACTAAAAAGATTCGATGTGTCCCACATGAGAAAAGATCATGGGTCCTTTGGCGACGGGAGTATTGACCACCCCGGTATCGGGCCCCCATGTGTCACAACGCGTTGGGCGGGATGACAGTGCACGAGCGACCCTCTGAGGGAGCAAACCTCCCTCAGACCCGCTCACCTGCCCTGCCAGCTAAGGCGAAATACGGGTTTGGGGTACGGCTTTACTCCCACAACTATGGATGTCCAGCACGACGTCAAGAAAAATCAAACGCTAAAGGAAAACAGGTCTGCCGGGACACATCCATCCTCCATCTCATGGCCCGGCCTGGGAGGACAGCACGTCCATCTTCTGCCTCGAGTCAGCCAGAATCCGCGAGTGATGGCGACTGTGAAGTGACCTACTCAGAAATAGGCGCGTGAAAGCTGAACCCTTGCCACAAGAACCTGGAAGAAGGTTCAGCTTCTGGGGCCATGAAACCTGGAAGTTGAAACCAGCAAATTGATGCGTGGGGGTTGCGGAACTCGGCTGCGGCTCCATAGAGCGTGGGCAAATCTAGCTAACCCACAAGGTGGCATTGAGTTGAGCGGTTTGGGGCGGGGATACCCTCCGCCAGTTCAGCTTCTCTTTCTTGGTCACCCCAAGAAAGTGGCCTTTTGAGTCCTGTCACATGGACTACAACCGACCAGAATCACAACTAGTGGACCTCTTGATCCGAAAGGACGACTGTCCATATTTCGGGACCCAGCGAGGGCTTGAACTGACTGGATTGCGCAAAAGGGAACCACCCATTTGCTTGAGAAAGCCACCGTGGGCGCTGTCCCGGGCCCTAGTTGCGGAGCCAGAATCCAAATATGAAGGCCGAAGGCTGTCACCATAACCGGCAAGAATCATTCCGAAGCCCAGAATCTGCGAGAATTCCAGAAACTGAAAGAGGAAACCTCCTCTTGCAGTCCATCACAAGCTGGGCATACCCGCCCGCTACCTATCCCTTTCGGACAGTTTTTGTAAGGGAAACCTTTCGCCCTCCGTCCAAAAGGGCCTTTCTTGGGTCCAATTGCCATAGTACAGTCAGTACAGTGGCCAAAAAGCGACAGTGGCAAAAAGCCTTTCATGACCCATTTTCATCGGATCCACCTTCGAAACTCATTGGAAAGGCGCACGAAAAACTCTCGGGTGAGCTTGGGATAGGCCCGGGGTTCCGGGCGCAATGGTGATGCGCGGCACCGAGGTGGTGTCCACCAAAGTCACCTTGGCGTCCTGGCGCTTTTTGTCCCTGTGTGGGGTGTGGGGTGTGGGGTGGGGGGGTAGGGGGTGGCGGGTGGGGGGTGGGGGGTAGGGTGGGGTGGGTGGGGTGTGGGGTGGGGGGGGGTGGGGTGGTGTGGGTGGTGTGGTGTGGTGTGGTGTGGGGTGGTGTGGTGTGGTGTGGCGTGGCGTGGCGGTGCGTGGCGTGGCGTGGCGTGGCGTGGCGTGGCGTGGTGTGGGGTGGGGAGGGGTGGGGTGGGGGGAGGGGTTGGGTGGGGGGTGGACGGGTGGGGTGGGGTGGGGCGGGGCGGGGTGGGGTGGGGCGGGGCGGGGTGGGGTGGGGTGGGGTGGGGAAGGGTATGGGGTATGGGGTGGGGTGCGGGGTTGGGTTGCGGGGAGCCTCGGACATCAGCCCGGAGCCGTGTTTTTTTTTTGTGTCGCGTTTATGCAAAAATGCCGCAAGGTGCTCGCGGCTTGAAAAGGGGCCTGTCCGGGAAACGGGGCCTTGGAATCCGTTTTCGAGGGCCCAGGAGGTTGGTCCTTCCGACTGTTCTCAGTATGCCACCAAAAAAGCCAAGGGAGATGTTTAGCATGCAGCATACGTTGAACAAGAAGCACTACATATTGTTGACCAAGCCACGTGATCTCCGTTGGAAGACCACTTTGGCGGCTTGTCTCAAATATTCATGTTTGGGGACCCTCAGGATGTGAAGCAAAACCAACACTGGGCTGTTCATGCCCGTTAGGATTCACATGATGCTTACCCCCTTAGATCAGGGACCCTCCCTCCCAAACAGCCGGGGCCAAGGACAAGAAAAAGCCGAATAAAACCTCAGAGGGGGGTGGTTTCGGTGATCACAGGATGATAAGGGCCGGGAATGGATTGAGCCTTGGCTTTACTAGGCAAACAATGCACACCATTCCCAAAGACACGAAAACAGTAGGGTGTGAAAAACAAATCAAGATCTCCCCAATTTGTGGAGTTTCAACAGGGTACACCAAAGTCCAAACTAGAACTGCAAAATAAAGAGAGGACAGAAACAGGCAAATCATGGTGGTATCCTCTTGCCAACAACCTTTGGAATGGACAGGAGGACAACATGGTAGTGCCGCGCCACTCGTTCTGCAAGTTTAGACTCTCACCATCGAAGTCACCCCTATATAAGTGATACGTTGAAGGGAAACACCCCCAGCTGACTTTACCCCAACCGAACCAAAAGAATGACCCAGCCACGCGCCTGAGCAGCCTTGACATACTTCTCGCCCTCTGGAAGTCGACGCCCCACCCAGGCCACCAACATCTTCCCTGCGCGAAGCTACGAATCGCTGGCCATGCCATGAGTCTGTGACAGCCCATCTTGACTGTTGAAACTCCCGAAATCGGGGCTGCGAACGCCAACAGTAAAATCCATAGCTTCGACACGCAATGTCCAAGAAGCATTTGGGCGAGGCTTGCGCAGCTCACTTTCTGTGGAAGGAGGGGGGGCGGTGGGGGGGCTGAATGAAAACCCTCCGGTTGTGGAAAACCCCTTCAATTCAATTTGCGCCTGCTCCCTTTTATGACAATCCCATTTGTACCTGAACTGCCCTTGTGTGAGCCATGTGTGGGTACCAATTGACAGTTTTTGGAGGGTGCCGGTACATCTTTGGGGAAACAGGCCCTGGGCCTGCCATGCCCCCGAGATCCTGCTCTGGCGGCGGATTGATGGCCTCGAGCGCAGAGCTGCCATTTGGTGTGCGCATCTTCAAGCATCTAAAGCTGGTTGGTTCCCTTTAAGCAAACACACCAAGCGGGCCGCTTTGACCAACGCAGCAGCACCTGACCGCTTGTCCATTCTTAGGGCCCTCCGGGTTTTACTGCGTTTGCTCCGTGAGGTTTTGGCCCTGGGTGAGGAGGATGAACCCATGACCAAATGTCATGCAAGAAAAAAAAAAAAACACGCTTGGTCGGTTAGATCGTAAACAAATAGCAACCTCCGAAAGAATGGAAAAGGGACCACTGGAGCTCCAGGCACGTTGAATATTGGAAAACAACAGTAGATTGTATACTTGGGAAACAACGGTTCTGATGCCAATATGGACTTTCATGACTACTTCCCCTTGTTAAGACTCCCCCTTATCGCAAAAAAAAAAAAACTACACCTATCGCCACAGCATGACCATGTTCCTACAATGCCCAAACGGGTTTGTCTCAAATTTAGGGATCTCCAAAAGGGTTTCCTTTCGGCTTCCTTGCAAAGCCAGCCAAAAAGGGCGGTCTTCCAAGCGGCGAAGAGCAGCTCGCTGCTGCTCACCACCGCGTTCCGCGACGTCACAGAGCAGCCCACCGCCTCCCGAAAGTTGGATTGACAGCTCAACATCTTCAACCTGACCCAAAAAATGCTTTCTTCCCCGCCCAACGGCCGACGGCTTTGGGGTTGTTAGATTATAAGTGACAACCGACCACCACGACAGAGCCGGCGACAGACAGATGTGACAGAGCTTGTGACAGACAGCTGTGACAGACGGCTGCGACAAACAGCTGCGACAGACAACGGCAAACAAATGTAGCAGGCAGCTGTGACAGAGCTTGTGACGGACAGCTGTGACGGTCGGAATCCTGCAAACGTGGCGGCTTGGCTTTTGTTTAAACAAATATGCATGCGAGTCTCACGCAGAAAAGGCGTGCGGCAGCTGAAGCTATACTGAGCCACAAGACCCAGGATGAAGAAGATTGAGCGCTTAGACATTTTTGCTTTGGCAACCTTTGACCCACCTGTTCAGCTCCTTTTCAGCTGCTATCCGCCAATGCAGTTGGACCTTCGGGCTACAGATGATGTGTCCTTGCAAGAGCTTGCCGGGTCGCTCAAAGAATCAGGGCCCCAGATGAAGGGAATCTCCACCAAACAGGAAGCGTGATCTCGGAAGCAGCTAGAGCTACTATTGACTGGGGGTCAGCGCTGCATTGGTTCCATTTTGCTTTGACTCAGTTTGCCTAGCCAGCAGCATGCTTGAGACCCCGCACGCAGTTAGATTGACTTGTTGGCGCCTGTGTGGTTGCAGTCTACTCTAGCCAAGCATTTTTGGTAAGGTGGGGATTGATCCGAAGAAAAAAGAAAACTTCTTGGACCGACAGGGTGGGGACTTGGTCGAACCCCCTTGTTTGAAGGCGGAAGTCCCACCCAAAAGCATCCGTTTCTCTTTGGCTCCGACGTCTGAGCCTCGTAGGCCGCGTCGGGGATGCCGCTCTTCGCACCGGCGCCAGCTTCCACGCTGATCTTGTAGCCCTGATGACACGACACACGAGCTCCCGCATTCGAGAAGCCCATTGGAGGATAAAGAAAGAAACGGTCCCGATGTTGGACCCGGGGAGGCACAAACGAGTCAGAAGCGCATCCTGTTGTCTGGCAACCCTCGTTTAGGAGGCTTGAATGTGGCCAAAAATATAGCAGCACCGCTCTACCTAAGGCCTCAATGGGTCACCAAGATTTTGGGGCGCTTGTGACAAACCGACAAGGATCAAAGCAAGGTCGAACTCCACACTCGCTGTGCTGCGCCGGCCTTTTTGTTTCCAACTGGGAAGGGGGGGGGCTGTGATTTTGACTGAAACCTGATCTGGCTTCCTCAAAACAGAAATTGTCTGCTTGGCGGTCTGCTTCTGGTCGATGGACAGATTGCCAATCTACCCTTTTGATGCCAATGAGGCGGTCAAATCCAAGGGGTAAAGCACCATCTGGGTATCCTTACAGTGAACCCCTACAGCTGGTTTGCTGTCTGTCACTTTCCCAGTAAAAACCATCCAAAAGGGGGTCTCTGTGAAAATCCGCCTTATACTTTCACAGAATCCCAGTGCATAGTGGAGGCTTGGCAAATCCGAATTTTCCCAGAATCCCTAACCTTCTTGAAATCAATCGCAAACTCCTTCCGTATCCCAAAGGAACTATCCGCCGATTGCTTGATACTTGCTACAATATGTTTTCACCATAATATTGTTGCTGAGAACGATAGCTTTAGATAGGGGTAGTGTATACATTTGATTAGTGAAAAAGTTCAGCTGATTTAAGGGTCTGTTTACTAATCAAATGCCTACATTACTGTGCCGGAGTGCATCAGTTTGCATGGCGAATCAAAACAACACACAAGCACAAGTACAAGCACAACTTGTACCGTGCATTCAAAGCAATACTCCGACAGCTGCCAACCAATAGGCACGCCGTCTTTTCACCACCAGACTCAATGATAACATGCTTAACCTAAAAATACAGAACAGCCAATGGCCAATCTATGATCGCTTCTGCTGACCAAAAAGTCGACAGGGGTCCTCAATGTTCAGAAACAACCGCCACCAGCTAGATGCATCTGGAGACCCAACTAAACGGAATCCTCACAAGGCTCAAAACAATTGGTGCGAATCGCTGTAATTCACACTCTGCTTGCACTGGCAGCGCCAAAGCACCTCCCAGGCACCTTAGATTTCCATCCCCGCGGCCAAGTGATGGTCAACCATGACTAAGGAAGGTGAGATGCATATGGCGAACTCGCCAGACGCTGTCTTCTCCAAACTGTTCGGCCTCTTTCAAACCTTGGGCCATGGGAAAAAAGAGCGGCACGTGTGGATGGAATTTTAGGTTTCTCAGCAGGGACCCCCGCCCAAGAAAGGGAACCAGCTGAGGGACTGGGATGCCCTTCCCCGCCTTGCCAATGAGCTTCTCCGCAACGGAGGGCACCATGCCTGCAGCACTTGCCCCCCCCTGGGATGGAAAATGACATCCTCGAGCTTGGCCCAGAAAGGTGTTGAAGAATGATGTGGATGAGGAAATGTGGCAATTGTAGCAGCGAAAAGTTGAAAAGTAATTCTGCGAACCCCTCCAAATGTTCGCTTTTTTCGGGGCCCGGTCGGATCTCAGGAGCCTTCTTTTGGCAGGCTCCATGTCGCCACAAAGCTGGGGGCAGGGTTCCAATAGGTTCCCAAAAACATGTGCCACTCACCGAACCCATTTCTTGACACTGACTTAAAAGAAGATGTCTGAAACTACCAAGGACAAGACATCCGGGGTCTGGTTTACTCAAAACCGAAAGCGGCATAAGGGTAGAAATCTGCGTCCTGGTAGGAGACCAAAGGAAGCCGAGCCAAACTTCTGATCATCTTTTAGAGGCTGCCATTTCGGCCTTGGAAAGGGGCACAAGCTAGATGTTCTGTTCTTTTGGAAACGGTACTTGCCGAGCTCTACTACGGCGTTGGGGCGCTGCTGCGTTTCGGCCCGGCGGCTGACACGCTTCTCATTGTCACCTTCCTTCAGGATGCCGGTGTTCAGGTTTCTCCACCTGAGCCCAATGGAATTCCCGAACTAAAGCTGAAACCTGCATCTACGCCTAAACCAGAAAACCTGAACCCAAAAACCGGCCCACAAGCTGAACTCAAACCCAAGCTTTTGCTGTAACCGCATTGAAACCAACCCCCCCCCGCAACTTGGCCAACGGGCCTGGGCTTGTTGTCCCGCCATCCGAGGTTCCACTTCATTACTCCAGCTCGCACAATGCCGGCTCGCGCAAGCCGAACTCAACCAGATCTGGCATGAGGAGCTCATAATTTAAGTAAGGGTAAAGGAACATTGTTTGTGTGTGTGTGTGGAAGTTGGCGCCCCCCTGAAAAAGGAAACTGCAGGCTGTAGCGCGCTCCAACCCCTCTAGCCAAGAGGCAGGGTGTTGACGGCCCTTGGCCGGAAGCGCCCGCGGAGGTGCCTTGGCTGGCAAGCATTGAACCCCATCGTAGATATGTTGGTTGCACGAAGATGGAAAACTACATGTATATACTGTATTCTTGTGTATAATAAATATATATATATATATATATATTTATTTTATGTATATGTTGTGTTCAAATAGGTACATGTGTACTGAAGTTCATGGATTGACAAGTAAATCTACATAGCCGGTGCAAGGAATGCAGCTGGTAGCAGCTGGTGTAGTGGGAGCATGCACATGTGCGTGCATCATACACATGTGTATATATATATATATATATTATATATATATACAATGTGCAATAATGTGAAATATGCATAGACGTATTATATGGCAGCAAGAGTTGCAAGCCTTCGGGGTATGACCCGCCCGCCGCGTATGTCGAACTTTACGGCGGCGCCCCTTTCGTCCTAGTCCCGCGCCATCTGCAAGTGCAAAATATGGGTGAATAAAGAACCATCAACCTGAAGAAGTCGCTGTACGTGTCCAGATTTGCTTTTTACCTGGGTGACACACACACACACAGTGCCTGGAACATCCACTCTTCGTTTGTATACTGACACTAATTTGTAGGTTCATTTATGGCTGTAGATGTTTGCGTTTGTGTACCTGTTTGTAGATGTTTGCGAAGATCTTGTGATTGTACGCGGCCTTGCAGCCAACAGCAATTCCCTGCGCCCCGGCCACTTTGGCCGCGCGCTGCCCGTGCTCCCCTTCTTCTAACTTGCTCTTTTTTGACTCGGGCAAATTTCAGCCAAGATCAGCCAAGTCTGAGCCGCATTGTTGACACAGATCTTCCTCAAACGCGCGAAGCCTGAAAGCCGGCCGCCAGAGTTTTTCCCCCTTTTTTGAAACCCTCATACTGTTCAAGGTGCATCATCCTTCCGGCCGCGGTCTCCCGCCCAAGCACTTCCCCGGGTCAGCGTCAAAACCCCGGCTTGCGGCTTGGACCAAAGCCCTGCGGTCAGCGGCGGGCGCGGCTGTCTCAAATTGTGCGCTTCGAATGTCCCAAGGAAACAAGTTCGGGGCCGGGGCGGGCGGGGGGAGGGGGGTTGGGTTGAGAAAACCGCGTGTCCACTTGCGGAAAGCGGGGGGTCTCTTTGAGATGATGTGGGTTGAGTCCAACCCCCCTTGCCCACTTGGGAATTTACTTCACAGAACATGGAGTCCCCAAACCCAATTTTCACAACTATGTGAAGCACAAAACCCTCACCCAATCAATAAGCTTCAGTTTTGGGGCATCCAGGTTTTTGTCGGTAGCACAGCCACTGGCAGCTTCGCTCGAGGTGGTCCTTGATTATTTTTTCATGAGTGGACGCGTTGCTTTCAACGAACAGCCGGCGAAAGTCTAAATGCTGATCCCTCTAGCTTTCAGTTGGAAGAGGAAGGGGGTATGTGGGTGTGGGTCAAAAATAGGTACCACAAATGGAACCCTGGTAAATGGAAACAAGGACTAAGATCTGCCGTCCCCTGGTGCTGATCTGGATCTTGACCGATGGGAAATGAAAGTCACTGGGAAGGCCCCTCCCATTCTGACGTTTGCAGACCAAAACAAGACACCTGACGCCTGTTTTTTTGGGGCAGGTTGATTAGCCCAATGGACTGCAAAACAAAAGCGAGGGGAACCAGTGACTTGGGCCATGTGCCGAGCCCCACAAGGTCAAAGAAGGCGTTCGAACCTCCCATCGCGCGATTAGGCCGAAGAATCTGGGAATAGGGGCAGTTTGTCGAGCCGATATGGGTCAAGCATGTTGAACGGGGGTTTCAACAGATAACATCCAAGAGAGGGCCAAGCACAGCGGCTCGGGAGCACATGAATTCATGTTTGGCAACAAGCATCCCTTGTTAATTTTGCGCGGTTTCCGTGCCGTCGGCCTCAAACCGACGGCAATCAGATCTACAAAAGTCCGATGTTTTTGAGAAACAACACTAGCACACAAATCCACCAGCCTCAAGCAGGCTGGGGTCGACATGACTGCCCACAGGCCCGCCCCAACCTGTAGGCCTGCGGAATTGCAGGTGTTTGATGGTGTCTGTGGGAAGCAGCAAAAGCCAGGTGTTGAATAGGGGGTCACCATTGGAGAAGCATCAGATTCGCAGAGTCGAAACATCAGCTTCCCACAATGCTGCCTCCAACCCATGAACAGGCACGACTACAAGTAGCCCAAACAACGGGCGGATTCTTCCCTTTCATGGTTTGACACAATCCCAAACGAGTCCCATCAACGGCCATACTGTGGATGGACGAAATCCATTTCGCACCACCCAAGAAACCCTAGAATGATGATTCTCCTGTAAATACCAACGCAACATGGTTTCCCATTGTTTCAAAGTGGTGCGAATTGGATTTCGCAACCATCAGTAGGTATGGGAAACCGGAACATTCATTGAACTCCCCGGACCCGGGGCCCTGGGGCTGCCGCCGAGTCCAACCGCGTCCGGCTGTTGCTGCGCTTCACCTGCTCGGAGAGGTACGGGTCATTCGCCCAAGCTGACTACTTCTCGGCGGAAAAGTACGCAGTTATGCACACACGGCTTAGGGTTCGGCCAATCCTTGTTCAATAAAAGCAAAGCTAAGGTCCTTGCAAAAGGCCTGAATTCCGCGGTCGCAATCGCGATGGCTGTTGCCTCAGCGTCAGATGGTGTACTTGGCACCAGCCATGCGGATGCCACCTTCAGGGTCTCGCCATCTCGTCGACTGCCCTGTTGCGTCATGTGCATGGACGCTGCGAATCTCGGCGCAGCCCAAGCGCCTTCAGTTGACCATAGACCGCAAAAACCAATTTGTTTGGCGCGCTTGCGGAAACGGAAAGCCCAACGTGTATTGGTATCTACATGTTATCCATTGGCCTTTGCCCAAATGTCAAGATGGGTTTGTCCTTTTGTGGAGAAGCCCCTTTTTGGCTGATTGTAAAGGCAAACCAAAAGGAAACCAACTATTTTGGGGATCCCCTAATCTTGAGACACCCCCAAATGTCAAGATTTCTGTCAGATGCAAAATGCCAGTTGGATGTGAATATTCTTGCACATGATTGCACCTGCAGAGAGGTGGATTTTACGGGGGAGCCCCCTCGAGAAGCGCGAAACATGGGGCACTGTAAGAGTGGGCACAAAATGACACGGGCCCAACATGAAGCCGCGCCATATAGGTTTACACCCCGGCCAAACCATGTGGCATGACCCTTTGCCAATGTCTTTACCCAACGGGAACCCAGCAATTGACAACCTGCCGGAAATTTTCGCTTGTGACGGGTGCCTGCTGGGTGCCTGCCTCCGTCTTTTACGGGAATGCGGATCATTTTCGGGTGAGGGAAACACCTTCCCACTTCAAAAAAAATGGCGCCTGACCTGAGCTGCAATCCGGCAAGAGATTCATCCATCACCGAGCTCAGTCCAGCAAACCAAGACAAAGCTGAAATTCACCCTTCCGAACTAGCAATGCAAACATACG